TTAAAATTCTACAAGAAGCCTTTCCTGATGCTCCTTAATACTAGTGCTTTTCCCTTTGTGATTATCTCCTATTTATTCGGTCTATGTCTTAATTGTACACAGTCGTTTTGCATGTCGTCTCATTAGACTGTCAGCTCTTTGAGAGGAAGGACTGGGCTTTTCTTTTTTGTTAAGTCTTTAAAAATCTTTCTTTATAACCCTAAGCACTAACACAGTGCTTATCACATAGTGGGTAATTTAATAAATGCTTGTTAACTTGATTTGTTGACTTGGTTATGTCTATACAGTAATAAACAAATGTTTTGGAGGACATTAACTAACTAATGCATCTGGTACATAGATTCCTTAAGGTGAGAATTAGTTCTGCTTATTAAACAACATCAAAGCAATAGTTTCAATCCATATTGCTCCACTTTAATGAGGAACTTTTCCATGGCTGTAGAAATTGGTTGTCATGAAAACCCTCCCATGAAGTTTCTACTGTGCCTCATATTTAACACCTCCTTTGGCAAAAGCTGCGCAAAAAAGAAAAAAGACCTGGGGACAAATGCTACAGTACTGGGCAAAAATGCCTGACTCACACAGACATGGGTTTAATGCGACCATGTCACACTCCTTACATAAAATTCTGCAGATGGAGGCAGATTGTCTCACTCAAAGCCAAATTCAATATGGCTAACTGTAGCACAACATGTAGCACATTCCCTAGAGTTACCTTCGCTTGTAGGGCTCCTAGTTATCTCTAGCTTAAGGGTGGGGTATTTGGGGGGTAGTTACATAAATCACAGCTTGGGCCCCCATTTTGGTGCATGCATTCACAGACTCAGAAGCAACCACAAATTAAATAACAAAAGATTTAATTAAGGTAGAATAGCAATGTAATTCACAGGAAAATAAAAGGACAACAGTCATCCTTTTTTACCTACCTTTATTAGAACAGTTCTGTCCTTTTTTCCGTTCCCTTGCTTTCTGTAGTACTAAGGACTGGGGGCACTGGAATGAATAAAAGGCAGGGAGTAAGAACAAATCAAAGGGGTAGAGTAGATAATCTACAAACTCTATGATTGGGGGATCAGCACCAGGTATCAGTCAGGAAGAATTTATTATGTGCCTTCTATACGCCAGGCACTACAGGAGGTTCTTGGGATATAAAAACAAAAAATGAAAGTTCCTGCTCTTAAGGAGCTTACATTCTGTCCAGGAAGGAAACCTGTCTACAGATAAATATATAAAAATGTAAGAAAAAATAGGTATGGAATAAATACAAAGAAAATACAAGGTAGAAAGGAGAGGGTATGGTACCAGGTAAGGCCTTCTGGTGTTTTCTTTATGGTTGTCTACCATTTTAGAAAAGAGGGGCAGAATTAATAGTTGATTAAGAAGATAGTATTAGAGGATTTTGATTTCTGTGCAAGGTACAGAAAAGATGGATTCTTTGCCAGGAAGTGACTTGCTGTAATAAGGGCTAGTAAAAATTTCTTTCCCTGGAGACTTACAGATCTGATCAAGAGAGCTCTGAATTAAAAACTGAGGGTGGAAACAGCCACATATATCTTCGGATCATAAGATTTAGAGTTGAAAAGAACCAGAGAAGAGCTAGTTAGTTCTGCTAAGCTAGATAAAAGAATAACAGGTATGGCATAGGAAGAAAAATAGTTAGAAATAGTCCAGAACTCAATAAGATATAGTATCCATTAAGTGGGGGCAGTTATAATATTTATGGCCTCGGTCATCTATACACAAATGCATACAGTATGGGTACAACAAAGAGAAAGTTCTCATCACAAGCAGGTAAATTCTAGCTCAATGGTAACTTAGGAAGTGACTGGAATATGGTAACAGAGTTCAAAGGAACAGATTAAACAGAAGAGTGGTGGAATGGCATTACATACTAGAAAAAAATTCCTGTAACAAAGTTTAAGAATTTTGAAAAAATTTAGATTGAATATATTAGACACTTAGAAAAGCAAGCTGTATATAGTGGAGACTTATGGATTCATGCACAGTTCTGTTTTTATTCTATGCAGATGTTCATTTTATTTGGGGTTTAAGTTAAAAATTTTGGGGTAGCTAGGCAGCACATTAGATAAGAGCGCCAGGCTGAAGTCAGGAAGACTCATCTTCCTGAGTTCAAATCCAGCCTCTGATGCATACTAGCTGTGTGACCCTGGGCAAGTAACTTCACTCTGTTTGCCTCAGTTTCCTGGAGAGGGAAATGGCAAATCACTCCAATATCTTTGCTAAGAAAACCCCAAATGGGGTCATGAAGAATCAGGCAGGACTAAAAAACAACTGAACAACAATGCTACAGATCTTCCCCTACCCATCACCCCTACCTCCACACATTCAGATGTGGCTCTGAATGAGGTAAGATGCCTTGAAATATCATAAATCTGGCATGAAGGCAGTGGTAGGGGCTTCAGATGTCTGCTAAAGCATTTTTCTACTATAAGTGGAGCAGCTAATAAATTCCTGACTTGCCTCAATGATCATTATTTCAATTCTTCAAAAGGTTGAACATATAATGATGGTAAGTTATTTCGGACCTAATTCTGACTCATAATGAAGAAGCGATAGGGATCTTGGTAGGAAATAACCATGCCATCTTGGAATTCATAAAAGTAAAATAAGGTTGGAAAACTTCACCCTATATCCTGGAAAGTGGATTTTAAAGTGTTCAGAGAAAGACAGCTTGGTGGTGTAGTGAATAGTGCTGGACCTAGAGTTAGAAATATCAGAGTTTCAAGCCTGCCTCAGACATTTATTAGTTGTGGGACACCATGAAAGTCATTAAGTCTTAGTTTTTTCATCTACAGAAGATGGATAATGATAATATCCAACGTCAGAGTGGTCATTAAGCTCAAATGAGAAATATATGCATTAGTTTTTACAAAGCTTAAAGCCTTTTAAGTTAGCTATTATTTATTGTCATTGTCATCAACATCATCATTATCATCATTCCTGGGCTTAAAGTTCTATAGAAGTTATTTGAAGAAGGAGCTGCTAGGTGGTGCAGTGGATAGAGCACCAGCCCTGAAGTCAGGATGACCTGAGTTCAAATCTGGTTTCAGACATGTGATACTCACTAGCTGTGTGACCCTGGGCAAGTCACTTAACCCCGACTCCCTTGCACCCCCTCCAAAAAAAAAGTCAAGAAGTTATCTGAAGGGCTACTCTGAAGAACAATATCACTGTATAAACAAAAACAATTCTGATGATGACTAAAAGGAGACTTGTCTAAAGAGACCAAAGGGGATGCCCAAGGAACATAATGATCAACAGATTTTAAAAAAAAAACAAACATGGATAGCAAATGGAAACTGAGGCAGAACTGAGGATGAAAAAAATCTGAAGTGTTAAAACTCAGAACTAGTTTGAGGTTGGCAATGAATACTAAAAGACACTGAAAAGAGGTTTCAGAATTAGGTTTTTACCAAGAATAAGATCAAAGGAGGGGTATCCTGCTTGAGGTAGATGGAATAAGAACAAAAGGTGACTGGAAGAAAGCTCTATTGAACTTTCTTCTGCTCTGTCTAATCTATCAGGAATAATGGTCTTTAGACCTGGAAAGATGGAACAAAAATAGTTAATAAGGAGTAAATGAGGAGATAAGAGAATACCTCGCTGCCTTCAATAAGTTCAAGTCATGAAGCCAGGACATATTATATCCTCATGAATAAATTCAATTAACAAGAAATGTTACGAATACATGTAGTTTAACATGACAGAAACAGATGTCTACACAAACCCCTTTAGACTGTACATTCTCTGAATATTTATTAGTCATAATTAGTCATAAACTAGCGCATATATTTCCTCTTTTCTCTAACTTGTCTTGGTTTTTACCTAAGAAAATAAACTACCTGGAATGATATATACTATTCAAATGTCTGAGCACTGGAATCAGAAAATTCTTTAGAGTAAAAGAAACAATACCTATTACTAGGCAGCTAATAAGACATGACTTCTTAGGGGCATTAGGAAGTTCTCATAATTTTGTTTCATTTTCCACTCAATTCTGAATTTAAAAATAGTTAGCATTAGGTGCTACTTAACTGGGTTTGGAAAGGCAATTTTTTTTTCCTTTTGGGAAAGATATTGGCAATCCTATGATTTAAGCTGATAGAAAAATGGGATTCACTTAACTAAATTTTATTTTATATTGAAGGCATCTATTCTGAAAAAGCAAATGAGAGCCATATTATAGGTAGTTTAATTGTTCCCTTGACCCAATTGTGGCTCACTCCTTCCTACAAATAGGCATAGCAAATGATATAAACTGATGACAACATGCTTTCAGCCTGCACCTACAGTATGGTGCTAATGGCCTGCTGTCAGAATTTTTTGTAGTAGTAGTGAGAAGTTCTGCTTAACCACTCGTGAACTTCTGCCCAAGTGGGGCTCAGCCTGTTTTTTTCCTTTAGTAGGGAATCAAACACAATTAACACAGTGTTGAACATTCATTACGCACCATATTACAACTAGCCAAATAACAGCCCAGACTTGGGAACACGAGTAACTAAAATGGAAGCAGAAATGCTATACTTACTGATTTTGTACTTTTGGTTCATTTCATCATGTAGTAGTAAACAGAAAATATTTGTAAGATTAACTTGCTTAGTCACAAGATGCATATCCCGCAAAAACAGAACACATAAAATAGGAGAAAATCCCTAGTGAAGAGGACTTTTTAACTGTTTTTGTTTCTTGAAAATGGCCTTATATTTTCATATATACAAAAACAAGGACATTTTCCTAAGTGCACTTAAAAAATCTCTAATTCTATCCTTGAGGTTTTGCAAGTTTGATTTCTGTGGTTTTGTGATATCATAAACCTCCTAAACAAAATTACAGATTGCTGCTCTGTGGAAGACCATTTACACTCTCTGCAATCCCAGTAATCTTTACAAACTTGCAAGCACACTGATCACATCTCAACTTCCTTTTTTATTATTATTACAAATGTATATTATTTCAGATTAAAAAAATTCACACAGAAACAAAGTCAATTAAATTTTATTACAACCGAGAATATAAAATAAATGCAATTAACTCATTTTAGTTTCAACAGTCATTTCGAGAACGATGTCAAGACAACTCAAATGCAGTAAACTCTTAACTCGAAAGTAAGCAAGCGGCTCTTCCTGCACACCCATCAGAAGGGGCACAGCTGTCTGTGGCTACTACATGACTAGGGCAGCAAACCTTTGCGGTAGCATGAAAAGCATATATAGTACTCCATGTAATAATTAGAAAATGAATAATGCGTGCATGTAATTATTGAAAGAGGAAACAGGCACACTTTCACAAATAGGAAACATGGGAAAATACAAACTAGAGCAATTTGGAAAGTATATACTACATGACATATAAAAATTATTTAAATTGCTATTAAAAAGGACATCTTCAGTCCACATTTTGTGTAATACTTTTAGTGTCTACACAGACAGATCTTTAAAAAAATTAAATAGTATTAATTTACTAAATATTTAAGAGATTAACAGTGCATTAAGGATTTTTTTCATATAGTAATACATATCACTCCTTTGTAGTGATATCATAAAAGAGTACGTATGGCCTTATGTACAATACATTGTTTGTTTTTTAATCCTACAACAATTATCTTTGCTTAATGATATTTGTGGACCACTCCTGAAGCTTATAAAGGGAACCTAAGCTGCTACGTTTTATATAAAATGTTACATGTATTTGAATACTTCAAGACTCTTTTTGGAACGCTATTTCTGAACCCTCACCCATCAAGAAGATAGTATCACAGATATAGTGCAGGCAGGATTTGCAATTTTCATACAATTTTTCCTTCATTATATGGTTGTTTTTTGCTACATACAATTACTCAAAGTAGACAGTGGCTAATCTGATTCCCCTTTCTGTCTTCTTTTTTAACCCCTTCAACTAACACAATCACATCATTATAGGGAGTGATCTCTTGTTTTACTAAAGGAACCAGGCCATAAACAAATAAATAAGCAAATGTCATTTCCTATTTTTAACTGCAAAGTGTGAAATGCTTTTGTGAGGGAAAAGACCAGCTATGCAGAAGGCCAAAATTCCAAGTACTAAGTCATTTTTCAAAAATCACACAGGTACAAAAATATACTTACTAGTCCTTGGTTTTTGCAAGTTACTGCATTATTTATCTTTTTACAAAGGTAATTCCAACCTCATTATATTAGCCCTGACAGGAGGAAGTCTAACCTTTATTCTTATATACCTTAGAATTCTGGAACACCTTTCTTCTAGATATACATTCATCTCACTGTAAAACCAGAGAGAAAGCTGTTCTAAGATGATTTGCAATAGGAATGACAGCTAATGTGCCCCCCCAAATGTCTGTTTTTACTTAATTTACTGTTTTAACTTTAAGTACCCTGGTTTGGGTGTCTCTGTATACCCTTGAGCATACAGAGAAGTATCTACCTTATTTTCAGATGAAGCTATGTTCATTTGGGCATAGGAAAATTCAAATGCAAAAACGCAGTGTTTTCAAATTCTCCCCTTTGAAGTGAAATAATAAAGAAAATTAAAGCAAAACTAAAATTGTTCTAAAAATAAAGTGAGAATGAGTGTTGATGGGGCAGGACCAGAAGAGGAGGAAAAAAAGAAAATGCTGATAGATTAAAAAAAGAGCTAATAGGCTTGGTTAGACTGTAAAACAAGTAATCACTAACAAGGCTGCAGAGTGTGTGTGTGTGTGTGTGTGTGTGTGTGTGTGTGTGTGTGTGTGTGTGTGTGTGTGTGTGTGTGTGTAAGAGACAAAATTTAGTACCAGCCCATTAAACTCATGACATACACAGTACTGTGAAATGTTTGCAAATGTCCCAAGTACTAAAGAGCATTACATTTTGGCTCCTGTTTCTTTTGCTCTTTCTTTGTTCTATTTCCCCTGCAATGTAATCTCTTCTTTAGGACAGGAGTACTTTCCTTCTAACTCCCTAAAGTACTTAGTTTAGCCTGGGCCACAACAGACACTAGAGGATTACTGAAAGACCTTTATTAGCATTCCAAATACAATTTCCTTTCATTGCATTTAATTTGGTGCTTTCTCTCTATTGAAGTTGGATACACAGCAGAACCTCTCTAATAGAACACTGCTTGCTTACAGGATCAGAAACTGGAATATGAACCCATCTTTAGTGGGTCTGGTTAACACCTAAAGGACCTTGCTGCTATAAGTCTACCTATAAGGCAGTCATCAGAAGGTGTGGAACTCTCCACCACAAAGGACACCCTAGTTTTATTTCCCCAACTAGAAACGTAAGCCCCTTTAGGACCTGGACCAGGGTTCTGCATCTTATTAAGGTATCTAGTCCAACACTAGGCACATAGTACGTGCTCAATGATTACTTAACTGACAGCTTTATAATGTGATTCACTGTATATGATAAACTTATAATGCTGGCATGACTATAATGATTCAATTCAACATGCACTTATTGAATACCTACTATGTGCAAGGCACTGTACTAGACACCGGCTAGTAGCTGCTTTCTCATGAAAAAGAAAGAAAAAAAAAACAATTAGGGAGAATGGAAAATTGCTTTGAGTGCAGCCTGCGGCCTGGTCTATAATTAGTCTTCATAGTTTTTATAAATGATTAATTATTAATTATAAACATTATGCTGAGAGAAGTAAGGCCCTCTGCAGGCCATAACAACACATCATTAGTGCAAAATGTATACTGGATTCTATCTAAAGTCTTATTTTACTTGAGTTGGGACCCAGATTATCAAAACCAGGTAGATGAGTTCACAAATAGTAAAAAATTGTATATAGTAATCAAGGTTACTTCTAATTCTGGAAAAGAAATTTGTGAAATAAGGCTGGTGTCACTTCCATGGTTAAAAGCATTCTGAAGAACCCAGATACTTTCCCTTTTATACTGTGATTAGAGTTGCCAATTTTTATATCATTTTATAAAGACTAAAAAAAATGCCTTCCCCAAATCATTACTTTTCTGAAGAGCCAGGGCTCCTACAACTAGACAATGATGGGATTTTTAGTGTCAGATTTGAGGATAATGGTAACTGGAATATTCATGATAGCCATTACAGTCTTACACTTATCTGCCTATAGGTTTTAGGCACACTCACAAAGTTTTCTCCTAGGGGCAAAAGAAATATTTCAGTGCAATGTAAAACCTATTAATAGAAAGTTGCATCAACAACAGCAATATTATGTATACATAATACTTATCTTAAACATGAAAAAAATCTAAATGTTTTAACATGCTTTTGAAATAGTTACTTTATATCTAATGCAAAAATGAAAGGGAATCATCAAATTTGTATTTTAAAAGATTAGCTTGTAAACTTCTATTTAACTAACTTTGATTATTTAAGCTATTTATGTAAGCTGGCCAAAATTGAAGAAATGGATAAATCTTTAGAGAAGCCAACTTTATATACAATATGCATAAAAATTTCCTTTGAAAGGTTAAGTAATGCATCCTTTAATCGACAGTCACTCCTTTCTAATAAAATCCTAAGGTAGTTAAAATGTTTTTCTTGCTGGCTGGTATGAATGGCCAGAGGACTACATTCAACCAAAGTTCTGAAACCTCTGTTAAGGTGGTCTTAGCTATATTAAAGGATGCCCTAGAAATAGACTGAAATCACGAAACTTAATTATTGAAAACTATATGGAACAAGACAATGACTCTACAAATGGTGCTCCATATGAATGATTAACATAGCAATCACAAACTCTTAATTGGTATTCAGTTCACTAGCATGAAGCATAACTGCAAGGACCTAAAATTTGTTTTTCTGTTGTGGGTTCTTCGTGCCCCCCCCCTTTAATTTCCCTGAAAACTAGACTAACAAAAACAATCAGTAAATACTCTGGAATAGTTAAAATGTTCTGTTCGTGACATCCATGAGCAAAACAGTAACATCCTGTGAAAACAAGGTAGTGCTTTAAAAACGTGCATTTAACCTGTGTTGCTGAACCAATTTGCTTAGTATAAAACTATATACAGCTGAAATTCCAATCTAAAACATTAAAATTCTATTAAAGAGCTTTGAAAAGATCAAATCATGACAACTGCTACAGCATGAGAAAGGTGCACCAGGAATCCTTCAAAACAATGCTGAAGGTTAGAAAAGTTAAGTGCTGGGTTTAGATCAGACATTTTATCAGAGTAACCACAATGGAACACATGCAGGGGGAAGGGAGCTGGGAAACTTCACAAGGACCTTCTTTAAGCTAGTAAAGAAGGTTGATAAGTCCACCGCAGAATGTTCAGTCAATAAAGCTCTTCTCATATACTTAAGAATCTTTCAGCTATATCACAGTTTGCATTTTTGGTTCTTCTCACTGTGACCTTCATATTGCTGGAGCCTTTGACTTTTGGTTCATTCATTCCATGCTGAGGGGAGTCTGCCGGGCTCCTCAGTACCGGTGAGCCTGATGAGCTGGATGGTACTGGGAGCTCTGCTGAGATGATGTGGAATAGCCCATGGTACTCTGGGACTGAGACGATCCCTGAACATTGCTTTGGTAACTCAGGCGTGAACTGGAGTGCTACGAAAAATACAAAGGAAATTGTTGTCAGAGGGACTGTTCTCAGTGTTAATTATAATAACAACGGAGGGGGAGGGGGAGAGAGAAAGTAAGTGAACTTTTTCATCATCAGGCTCCAGGTTCAGAGGGAAACAAGTAAAATAAAGTGGTTCTAAAAAGATATATATATGTCAGGTATATAAAGTTTCTATCACTAAATAATATGTAGGCATATTATTATATCCAACACGGTTTTGTTTTTTAATCTCTCACAACCCTAACCTTTCTGACTGGAAAACATTTAAAAAAGGAAGGAAAAAAAACATCTCTGGATAAAGAACAGGGTTAGGTGGCTTCAATGATTGTTGGAAAGAAGGCATTATTGATTCCAAGGAGTCTTAGGGGTGGTTTTTGTTATGTGAAATTTAGAAGGAAAACATTGTGCACAGAAGAATTTTAACTCAGAGTTTAAAAATGTAGAAGACCTTGAGGTGTCATTGAGGGAAGGAGGAGAGAAGAATAGGTAAAGAGGTCCTTTTACTAGTGTTCAACACTAGTTGTCAAACTTAATTTGCAACATATGACCCAAAGCAATAGTACAATAAAATAGCCTTGCTGAAAAACAATATGACAATACCTTTTTAACCTCCCCTCCCCTTCAGTTATATAACTGTAATAACTTACAACATGGGCAAGCTGTCTTAGCAACTTTGAAATTCTTAACTATACTACTCTGTAATTTATTATAACATGCATTTAATTATTTCCATTCATAAGACACTGACAACAATTTATGTTAGGATGTGACTTAGCAGCATATAATTCTAATATGTTCCTCTGTGTCCTAAAGGCAAGAATTTCAAGGATACCTTCTAGCTAAATAAATACCAGAATGCCTAGTTTACAAGTACTGATTGTACTAGACCACAACTCATTGCTGAGGCATTCTCAAAAGTTCACTCACAGTACAACTACTGCCACAAACTAAAATAAAGATACAGGTTCCCTGCAAAAGATAACTGAAGGCTCTAACTTTTGTGATAAAGGAAAAAAATCACCCAATTAAATAAGATCAGGACTGTGACGTTCACAATCATTTGAAAAGCCAGTGTAGAAAGAGAACTAACTGGGCTTAAAGTCCTAAGATCTGAATTCAAATTTCAGCTCCAGCACTTCTGAATAATATAATTGTGGGCAATTCACTTAACCTTTAGGGTGTTTTTTCCTTATCTTCCTTTTAATAAAGAAGATGGCCTTGCTGATTTTAAATTTCCTTCTTGCTCTAAAAAGTCTATTAGTCCATGAATCTAAAGCTCAGGCTACTAATGTATCTTACTCAAGTCACATTACATAGACTTAGTGTCAGTTGAAACTAGAATTTAAGGTGACTTGAGTAAGATACATTAGTAGCCTTGAGCTTTATACCACTAGCGCAGTGGTCCATGACAAACTGCTAATCATCGTATTTCTGAAAGCCATAAATGTTAAATTTGCTATGTAATATGGTACTGCTCATGATAAATTTCAAATCCTATGTGAAGATAAGTTCTTGAAAAGTCTAAAATGACAAAACATAGAAACCAGATTACTATAAGATTAATACCAAACAATTATAAGGTTATAATTACTGTAGAAACACTAGAGAAAACTTCTGGGTTAATACATTAGACACGGCAAAACAACAGGCCTTCGGTATTATGTTAAAAAAAAAGATTCTGTACTGTGGTAGAAGGCAAATCATATGGGATGAGAAACAAAGAATATTCTTTCCTTTAAATGGGTAATAAAAGAAACAGCAGACAGATTATCCACTACACAGAAACATTACATAAAGAAGATTTTTGCTTTATCAGATGGTGTGGTAATTCTAAAGAAAAGAGGACTGAAGAATTTTGAGCTTTATAGCAAGAACCATTCTTAATTCTGCTGGGAAAACTCAGAATTTAAGTTGTATTCTCATCATTTAACTGCTTAACTAAAACAAAAAAATGGCAGCAAATTCATAAAGATGACACAATAACATGATTTAAGTCTGTTGCTCATTTGCTGGGAACAAACAGACCTTAAGGGAAAAAAAAGCAAGTAAGCTAAATTTACACAACACACATACAGATGATGGAACATTTTAATCCTAACTGCTGAAATAGGCAAACTGTTTTTAGTGAATCAAATCTGAAGTGTTTATTAGTTTAACTGATACAAAGTACAGGCATTACAGTTCTACTTGCATTGAATCTGTAATTTTCAGTGAAGATTAGTGTGGGAAAACAAAGAAGTGTGTTGAAATTTTCAAAATGGAAAGCCAAAAAGGTAAGCAAGCCATTTACTATGTCTTTCCTAACTGCTGTTCTTCCCCTCTTCATGCTAGTCCCTTATCTCCTATTTGATGATCTTTCCTCCTCCAGGAAGGAACTCTTTCTTTAGTTCAAATTTCATATTATCTATCTCCAATTCCTCTACGTTCTTCTGTTTCTCTTTTTCCTGGGGGACTGTGCTCTTTAACTCAGCTTTTTTATTTTCTGAGTTCCTTCATGTTCCACCTTTATTTTCTTTTATCTTACTGCTACTCTGAAAAGTTTTTGTAAAGCATAACTACTGATTCCTACATTGTTAATTTTTCTTTCTCCCAACAATGACGTTTTTCACCTTCTATTTTTCCCCGAAGTCATAGTTTCTTAATAATTATAAAGTGATTTCTGGTCTTAAAATTCCACTGACTCATAATAGTTATTTCTTAGGATTTATAAGCCTGACTTCCTTTCTCTTCCATTATTATGGCTAGCTCCCACTGTCTCCTACTAAAAGAAAATCAGTTCACATTATTTCATCCAAAGTTGAGATACCTTTTCTTCCTTTCTGTGTCTTAGCTGCTTGTCTAGGTTATTGCCTGATCAAAAGTGGATAGGTGGCCCCCAAACAATCAAGAGAATATTTTGTTTCACTCCCTGCCTATGAATAAAAAGATTCAAACAATAACAGATAATTAACTCATGGTACTCTCGGAATTATACTGAACATGATAATCCGACCTTCATTTTCCATGCAAAAAGATATGTCCAAATGCTGGGGACACTTGATATACCAGGTTATATGACCCCCTTTAATAATACTTTATACCTTACAAAAGGAACACTAGTGCATTGGTGGTGAAGCTGTGAATGAATAAAACCACTCTAGAAATCAATTTGGAACCATGTAAGTAAAGTGGCTAAAATTCCCATAAAATATCCTAGGTGTATACCCCAAGCAAGAAACTTCAAAACATTCATAGCAAAATTTTAGCAAAGAAGGCCCACAGAATGGGGAACGGATAAACAAACTGTGATATGTGAATGTAATGGAATGTTACGTATGCTGTAAGAAATAACAAATATGATGAATAAAGAGAAGCATGGAAAGACTCATAAGAACTAATGTAAAGTGAGGTAAGCAGAGCTAGGAAAACAATATATACAATGACAACATCAATATAGGAAAGAATCACAAAACAAATAAAAGTGATTACTGCAAAAATACAAAATATAAGTTTGGTCCTGTGTGCTACAGTTACCCAAAAATAACACTCGGAGATTTTCTAGGTATAAAGTGAAAGATTTATTATGCTCTTGTGAGAAGCGGGCATCTGCTTCATTCGGCAGTCCAAGGGAAGCGAGGCAAGGCACAAAGGTTATATAGTCCTAACGCAGAGACACCCACCCACCACTGGCTGTAAATTCCCACTGGACAGGAATTTCAGCCTTACAATCTAAAATGTGAAAATCTACCCCAGAAACAAGGAATCTCATTATAATACTACCAATCCTAGCTATTTTATCCTTATTTAGCATTAGCCATTACCTAATACTAATGTAACAGTACAGATCATGTGTTTTTTAGGAACTTGAAACTTGGGCCTATTCAGGCTAGCGTAACCAGCCTTGAGTTGTAACAGTCTACAAAACTGTTACACTCAGTCCATCTGAGAGATCTTACACTGTTTACCTTGTCTCAGTCCCAAAGAAGAGATAGCTGTAAGAACAACTCTGCCTTTTGCCTTTGCAAAAGGGTATATGAGAAGTAGAAGGAGGGGAGAGTCATGGATAAGAAACATGGCATATAACAACAGATTTTTTTGGTGTATTGATCAGTTTTAATGTTTAATTAGTTTCTTCTTTTAAAAAAATCCTTTAAGGGATGGTTCTATGGAAGAGGAAGGGGAAGAGATAGGGGAGAAATCTATGTTACGTATAAAATAAAAGATATCAATACAAACCAATTAAAGTAAAAAAAACCCCTCTAAAATGATGTACTATTAACATTTTGACCATTCTACAAAATATATAATTGGCAAAATGTCATACCTGATATTCAGAAGGCATGACAGGCCCGCCTGAGTTAGTGCCTGAAGGCCCTAGCCGTGGTTTCTTATTTGGAGGCACTGGATTAAGGCCTGAGTCCTGGCTGTGCTGGAGCCCTGCCCCAGTGCCCCCTCCTCCTGCTCCGGCTCCTGCTGCTGTCCCATTTGTCTGGGTGCTGTTTTGTTGCTGCTGCTGCTGTGGTGGCGGTGGTGGCGCTGCCTGCTGTGGCTGCTGAGGTGCTGTTTGTTGCTGATGTTGATTCTGCTGCTGCTGATTCTTAAAGAAAATCAAAGGGCAAGACATGAAAATCAAGTGTGATTATTGTTTTTGTTACAGAGTATTCAAATGCTACTCTCCCTTGCAGATATAATGGGAATGAAATGTGATGTGCAGGTAACTGGATACATTTCCCAAATGGGATCTATTTATACTATAGTCTGAAATCTTTCAAATTGGGCATGTTCCACTGGTTAGGATTTTTAAGCACCACTACCAAAGTAGGTGACGTTATGAAATCAATCCTGTACAGACTAAAAATAGCTACAGGGAGTCTTTTCCATCTTTACCTTGTAAGTATTCCAGGAGACAAAGGCAAAGAAAGACCAAGATGAGAGCTGCTTAGAAAAGGTGGTTTAAAAGAAGATAGTAATAATGTCAGAAAATAAATCATTCAATGTAGTTAATAATAAGCCATACTATAATTAGCTATAAATAATGATAACAGCAAATAACAATCATGAGCCTATAAGTTTATGTACTGTATTTTGGACTTGTAGGTATATCCTACAGTACCTAGACCCTCCTGGGAACTGAAGGAAACATATTCCTATACTACTAAGTGAAATTAATAACTATACTTCCCTAAGGCATAATAATACTTCCTCCTCATTTATTATTTGCTGTCTGGAGAAAGTTATGGGGGGTAGGAGTGGAGGAGACAAGAAACAGAGGCAAGAAAAAAAGGACTTTAAATTATACCACATAATTTGTACCTTGTCTCCTTTTTCTTCAGGTTCATCCTCATTAAGAAATTCTCGTTTCGGATATGGAATCTGACAGCCAGCAAACACACTGGAAAACACCATAAAACAAATAATTATGCATTATTTCTTAAAACTATAAAATTTTAAATCTTGTGAGTGTAATAATGTCATGCAGTTGCCCACCCTTCCCATATTTCTATCTATGTCTATTTAATCCCAATCTGCCAATACTATCTAGGTGTGTTCCATTACAATACCCTTCCATATTAGCAACAATACAAGTAAGATTACTTCTGCGTTATTTTAGTGCTGAGTTGCCATCTCTGACCTCAAATCTTACCACAGTGAAAGTATTTTTATTTTTAACAGCTAAAATTTAATACAAATTTGCCTGAACAAATGGAACAAATTTCCCTTGGAGGGATATTTGTTCTATTTCTGAATCAGTGCATAAAATTGCCTCAGTGGGTATGACAAAGAGGAGGATGATGATAATATTATTCTCTAAGTAGGGAGGGAGTCTGAACAGGAAGCACAAGTTTCCAATTCTGTATTCCTTCACTGGCTTATTAGCTCCTGGCAGAGCTGGGGAAACCACAAGAGGCCACTTGCCTCTTTCAGCTGCAGTTCTGAGCCATAAAACTAAACACTCCCTTAGCAGTTATTTGTTGCAGTTTTCCTCACTTTAAACCTGCCCTGGTTCACAACTTATTGAAAACTGTTTTGGTTTTTCAGGATGAAGGTAGGAATGGGGGGAGGGGAGGTAGAGGAAGGGAGCCCAGAATCCCAAATTCTTTTTCTCTATCAATTTCTCTCTCTAAGGTAAACTTAGGAGAAGATCTTTTGTTCTCAAGCACAAATTCTGTTTTAAAATGTCACCCCTGTCTTCAGGTTTTATCATACATACAAAGAAGGCAGAAAGATGTGGAGTGGGATACGTACTCTGATGTAGGCAAGGGATCCTCCTGGAAATAGGGATCCTGCAAAGCTTGTTCTGAGGTAATTCTCTTTGTAGGATCCATAGTAAGAAGTTTCTGAAGCTACAGGGACATGAGAGGAAGAGACAATTCATGGAATGAATATTTAGAATTAAATTTGTTTTTTATCCTAAGGCGGGTGTGTGTGTGTGTGTGTGTGTTTAACAAAGGTATACTATGGCTCATTTCATCAGGAGCAGGACTCACTTATATAACATGGTTATATAATTGACAGAAATTAGTAATTAGAGGACTTTATATCATTTCCTATTGATGGCAGTTATTAGAAATGAATTCACAACAAGTCAAAATAGGTGGCACAGTAGAAAAAAAAAAGAAAGGGAAATTTGAAGTCAAAGATTCAAATTCATCCTCTAACACTTACTACCCGCATGACCTCGGGCAAATTACTTAAGCTCACAGGCAGGTAGCACAGTGGATAGAGTGCCAGGACTGGAGTCAGGAAGACCTGAGTTCAAATCTGGCCTCAGACATGTAGCTATGTAACCCTGGGCAAGTTACTTCACCCTGTTTACCTCTATTTCTTCATTTGTAAAATGAAATGGCAAACCACTCAAGTATCTTTACCAAGAAAACCCCAAACAGGGTAATGAAGAGTCAGATATGACTGAAAAGACTGAATAACAACAACAAAATAAAGTGGTTGGACTAGATGGCCCTAGAGATCTCATCTAGCTCTCAATGTATGATCCTTTGTTCCAGACATTGAATTTCTGTGCATCGATGTCATAGAAATGGCTTGTGAATAAATCAAATTAAGTTCAAACTTCATTTACTGAGGGTATAGTATGTATTAACAGGGCATGGTGTTACACATACAAGTTAAGTCAAAAGAAAACTAACACAGCTGCTTGTCTTATTGAGCTTACAGTTTAAGATAGATGAGGAGAGCGTTCAGGGATTAGAAAAAGATTAGAGGAAAAAAAACTCTCATTTTTGTCTTTGTATCTCAGTGCCGAACTTAGAGTAAGCACTTAAATGACTGCCTGTTGATTTAGGAAGCCCCTGATGAGAGGAAATGAGAAATGAATGTGAACTAAAAAGGAACTCAGGCCTGAACTAGGGTGGCAGCAGGAAATGAAAGACAGGAATGTAGTATAAGAATCTTGTTTTAATTCATGGTGATTGGGAGGGATTACCAGCGCAGTCAATATACAGGAAAATCAAGAAAAGGAGCCATTTTTGTTGAGTTTGAGGAGTGGCAAGACAGCTAGGATAGGACTATCTAGGAGGTAGCTACTAGTGCTATCAGGAGACAGACACAACCTAGATACAGATTTGGCAGGTAGGCATCTGCACAGAAGTGATAGTTTATGCCACAGAGATCAATGATATCACCAGTGGAGAGTACAGGGAGAGAAGAGAGATGGGCTGAAAACAGAACAATGCCACCCTCATCTAAGAAACAGGAGGAGGAAGAAAAGCCAAAGAGGACAGAGATCAAAACAGCTACTGCTTTAGTTCTCTAATTAGAATCTCATCCCTTCTCATCTCGAGTACTGCAACAACCTCCTAATTAACCTCCCTACCTCAAATCTTTACCCTCTCCAATCTATCGCTCACAGCAGTATCAAAGTGTTATGTCCAAACACAAGCCTTACCATGTCATGCCCTTGCTCAATAAACTCCAGTGGCTCCCTATTACCTTGGAAATCAAATACAAATGCTACTGTTGGGTATTTCAAGTTCTTCACTATCTGGATCCACACTATTGTTCCACTCTCATTGCCTACAGTCCAGTAAAACTAGCTATCTGGTGGTTTCTTAAACATGACATTTCATCTCCAATCTTTGTTCCTTTGCAAAGGCTGTCAACATTCCTTGATTAATTCTTTCCTCATCTCTATCTTTGGGAATCCCTAATTCTCTAAGGCTCAAATCAAATGCTCACTGCAGCATGATTTCCCCATGTCCCACCCTCAAGCTGCTGGTGGCTCTCTCTCAATTACTTTATATTTATTTTGTGTATTTGTATGTGTTGCATCTACTTTTATATGTATATATCATCTTCTTTGATAGAATGCAAGCTCTCTGAGTACAACTTTCATTTTTGATTTTGTATCGCAGGGACTGACACATAGCAAGCATTTAATGACTGCTTGTTGATTAACACCTTAAAAGGGAAGCATATCAGAAACATTTCAAAGAAACGGTGGTGTTCCACAGGATCAAGGGTAATAGACCACAAAATCATAGATTTAGAACTGGAAGAGACCTTGAGAAGACATCAAGTCAACTTTATATTTTACAGATAAGGAAATTGAGGTACAGAGGTCAAGCGAGTTTCCCCTGCAACTTCACATAGCTAGAAAGTATCCAGGGCATGGTTTGAACCCAGGTCAAGAAAGGATAAGAAATGAATGGGAGAAAAGATATAGATTTAACAATTATAAGATAAGAAAGCAGTTTCAGTAAAGTAGTGAGGATAGAAATCAAACTGCAAAGAAGATAGTAATAAATGAATAGAGTAGAAACAGTGAGTGCATACTACTTTTTTGAAACACTTAAAATGATGAGAGAAGGGAGAGAGGACACTAATTAGAAGGTTTTAGGACAGGAAATCATGAGCAGGAGATGTAATAGGAGATTACTGATAAAGCAAGATTCTCAAAGAGACGAGATGGTATGGGATTTAAAAATAGAAGACTACTGAAGAACCTTGGAAAAGAAAAGGAAGGATATTGCTCTCCAAGAAGGAAAAAGGAGGCAACAAAACATAGGGAAAGAATGGTCAAAAATGCTGGTGGAGAAGATAAAGAAAAATTTTGAGGTGAAGAGGAAGGAATTTGAGAGAAATGGGAAGGGAAGAAAGAGAATCTGCTTTTATGTAGCTAGCACCTACTGTATGCTAGATACTATGCTAAGCTCTTTAGAAATACTGTTTCATTTGATCCTCATAGCCACCCTTTGAGGTAGGTGTTGTTATCATCCTCATTTTACAGTTGAATGGCACTGAAGTCATTGTAGCTAAGGAGGTAATATAATAATAGATATGAACAGGCTGAGTTCTTTAATAGGGTGTGCTATGGATTTGATGATTAGTAAAAACAAGCTCTTACCGCTGATTAAAACTCTATAAAAGTGAGATTCAAAGATTACTATGGACCAAGTTCCACACCTGGAAGTGGTAATGGGGGGGAAAAAAAGGAAAAAAGGGTCCTCCATTTTCCCATGCAACCTCCATATCACTGCAAAACTATGGTTTGTTTGTTTATTTACTACAACCATAAATTTTTGTAAATGGAAATAAAGATTATAAATTGTTCAATAAAATATTAAATATCAATAGCAACATAAAATTCCTTCCCATTCTCATGAATTTTTTTTTTAAGCAATGGAGTAGTAGTAATTTTCCCATGATAAATTATGTTTTAAAGAAATTAACTTACCAAAAGGAAAACTTTGCTGTCAGGCTTCACTTTGTGTTTTTCCATATATTTTATGAGGCTACTATTGGCATACCTGAAAAATCACATTAAAAAGTGCAATTCAATAGTAATAAAAATCTCTAATTAAAAAAAATCTGTCACCAGAAAGAAGTATTACATACTTTGTCACCTGTAACACATACAACTTTTCATTTTAATGGTGGATCTCAAGGCCGGTTTTCTTACATGCATGTACATTCAGTAAAAGAATGTTTATCTGAGCAATGAATGAGAATAGGGTTGAGGGTGGTGGAAATGTGACTAGTATCTGTATTTCCTTGTTCCTCATGCTAGACCTCCTCTTTTTTTGGGCCCCTAAAAAGGAACTTGTAGGTTCCTGTTACTGAGGCCTCCTAATGTACCATATCCAACCAGGTGTTTTCATTCTGATTGAAGGGCTAGAGGGCAGAGTTCCAAACTCCTCCCAATGCCTTCCTTCTGAGAGGACAGACACTGGACTTAGCTTACTTACTTTGCATCTTCTTCTCTGCCTAGTTTTAAGACGGTCGAACGAGGCATCTCTGGTGTCCCTTCAGTTCCTCTAGAACCCTCACCCCTGCCCTGCTTTCTTGCCTCCTTTTGTGTGTTGTCTCCCCCTTTAGACTGAAAGCTCCTTGAGGGCAGAGGCTTTCTCATTTTTTTTTTAATAATTATACCCCCAGTGCTTAGCACAATGCCTAGCACAGAGCAGCAAATAAACATTTACTGGATTATTAGACTGATTTGTAAAATGTAAACTCCTTGAGGGTAAGGAGTATTTTTGTCATTTCTTCGTATTCCTAGTACTTAGCTCAGTGACTGGCACACAATAAGTGCTTAATAAAATGACTGATTTCTGATTATCAAAATTCAGTTGACCAGTCTGTAAATTCCAGGGCAGTATTTTACCAAAGCTGTTGCTAAAGTAGCCTCTTGTTTAAGCATTTTTATCCTTTAGAAATTTTCTAAAGTAGAAATTCTCTCTCTCTTCAACTTGGTGTATAAGCTGCAATTATTTTGCGAGAGAACTTTTTAAAAATACTTATCATGAACACTGCAAAACAGCATGACCTAATGTTTCCATGAAATGATGTTTCTTATTGTCTTTGGAGACACACGCAAAAAAACTTGGCCAATTCCTTTGTCTGTCCAAGGAGAACCTGTGAACCACTGTCCCACTTAATTGCAGCTTCCTCTTATCTTTTAGGTTTGATTATCTCAAGGATGTGGCCATAGGGATACAAGGAAAAGGGATAATTAATGACAGTAATAACACTTGTTAATTACTTATACTTATTTTTCTTATGTAACTTATGGGCCTTGCTTATCTGAACATATTCAAGTCTTTAAAGTCAATTTAGCCAATTCCTTTCCTCTTTTCACTTTAAGCTCCAATGAGCTGATTCAAGTTCACATTTTAGAAAGACATTTAAAAAGTAACTGACTTCTTTATGAGCATCCTCTTTCTTTTTATAGATATGAGAGCTATAAGGGACTTCAAGAGATCATGAGTCAACTCCCTATCTATAGGTAAGATACTGTATCCAATGGCATTATTTCAAGTGAGCTGAATGAAGTCTAGACAGGTTAAATGTCTAGACTAAGATCACCCAGTCTCACCTAATGCTAACTCCTAGTTAAGTAGAAAGTTTTTTTCTCTCCTAATATGATTAAAGTAGGCCAACCACTTAATAATAAATTCTTTGGCTATGGCAACCCAGGAAACTAACAAAAATTTAAAATGGTTTTGACCGCTGGCAGTTTCTGCAATGATGGTAGCAAAGTGGTAGAAAAGAGGGCAAGGAAAAGAAAAGGGGGGGCAAGGAATGATAAGAAATGCACTGAGACTCTTGTCCAATGATGAACAAGTAAATATATTTCTAAAGGAACTAAATCTACATTCTAGCCATAATTAAACCTAAGCTGCAGTTAAGTGGAAGGATAGTGCACAGGTTCTTCTTTGTCAAAAACATGAAGGAAATGGCCAGGTTTATTTTATTGTACCTTCAAAGACAATAAAAACCATCATTTCATGGGGGCATTTGGTCATGTTTACTTTAGAAAATTTCTAAAGTTTTTTAAAAAGACCACTGACAAAACAACTGCAGCTTATATACCAAGTTGAAGAGGTAGAGAAATTCTACTTTAGAGAAATTCTACTTGCTGCAACTTGATAAGACCTTTTAAAATATATACTTTGATATTCTATGACTTCAATGGAAAGATGAGTAAAGGCAACAGGAGGGGCCAGACTTGGAAATTAAACAGAAGCCTCAAATCTATACCTTATGAAAACTTTCCTTAAGACAAGAATCAAAAGAGGCACACAATTGACTGAGATTGAGTATTAGATCTCTAGATGCTAATTTGTTTTGTTAACTATAAAAACTCTAATTTGGGAAAACAAATGCTACCTTAAAGGCTCTTCCAGAAGATGTCATCCATACATATGTGAAAATTATACAAGATTCCTTGAAAAATATCACAAGAGAAAATTCTGTTTGACAACTCTATGATCATTAATAACAAGCAAGGAATAAAACAGGGAGAAGCATGCTTGTAATGGTAGGTATTTGACATTGTTATGGAGGAGATTCAATGCATAGCCCAAGTCAAAGAAGGATTTTGTATACATGGTAAGGTCCACCAGAAGCCATTTGTAAATGACATAATCCTGACTGCATTAAGCCTCAGATCACTGAAGAGTTTCCTAAATAAGATCTAAAATCACTCAAAGGAGTTTTGGTTTTAACTATATGTGGAGGAAAGACCAAGCAGATGAAGAATGCCTAACTGTCCAGAGTATGATATGCAGTTGGATGTATAATTTATAGTCCTTATTTATCAGCATAATATTTTGAACAGAGACTGCAATAAGCTGGGCACAAAATTGAATAGGAGGAGAGTAGGCTGAATTGCCTTTAGGAAACTGTTAGGTTCTATTAGTGAGCCCAAACTTCTCTTGAAACAAGAGTTCATCTTTTTAATACCAACATTTTTCTGGCATTGTTGCAAGCCTGCAAAGGAGGAAACACTAGTCTCCAGAGAATTAAAGTATAATATCCATCAAAAAGCAATGGAGAGGTACACAGATACAAGCAGACTGTAACACATTACAAACAAGGGATCACAAAAAATGATGTAAATATCATCAAAGATATCATCAAAGAAATGTTATGATTTCAAAAGAAGATAAGCTGGTCACATGACAAGAAATAATTAACAGAAGATCACTGTTCCACTGATATCTTCACAATGTCAAGAGACCTTAAGAAGACAGTATTTAGTATGCTGTGTAGACTCTCTATTGTGAACTAATTCAAAGACATGGAAAAGAGTTGTATAAGATGAGTAGACATGGAGGTGGTTTTAACCTGCATCTCTGTAGAATATACCCATGATAATAAGATCCATTAGAGTGTAATTAAAGCAATGTTATTACCTTTTAAGGGTCCTGAAATGTTTGTTGGCTTTCCTATCTTTCCTTTTATTTGTACCTTTCCTCAAGAACCTGTAACTCTATTCCGGATATTCTTTTGTACTTCAGGTAGCGTGTTAAGTTTAGCTAAGCTTTTCATTTGATTTCCTCTCAATGAGGTAGGATCTTGAGACTGATTTAAATTTAAGAAGTATTCACCAGTTTTAAAATCTTAACTAATATTTCTCTAAGTTAATTGACTGAAGCTTTCCTGAAATCCATTTTCTCATTCTAATTTTTTTTCTTTTCCTTTTGGATTCTAAATGCTATATTTTCTGTTCATTTTGTTGAAGATTCTCATTCCATTTTTAAAGCATCAACTAAATCCTTCTATAGTTATAAAGTTCTGCCCCTAACAATTATTCCATTTTCTGTATTGTTAAATTACACTTCAACACACTCCCAACCACTTTGGAGTCTTTGAAGGACTGTTTTATTTCTCTTCCAGGAAATATCTGGATAGTTCACATTACTAAATGCCTTTATATGATGGCTTTATTAAATTGATCTAAGGCACTCACAGCCTCTTTAACACCCTTTCCTTCTAGTGTGGGGTTTCTTATAAATTCCTAGATGACATCCTTATTTTTTCTGTTTATCCTTCAAATAGATTCTTTACTATTTCTCATCAATTCTAGGATCTTGTAAATGAGTATATTGTTTTGGTTTTCTCTCCCTCATTCAGCAGCTTACTACTTTGACATTTCAATGATACATGCTATTTTATCATTTTAAATATGATGATAAAATCACAATGTGGCCTTGAAGTCAGACCTTTATTATGCTAATGTGGAAAAGTATTTAAATAATTTACTGATAATACATCTTGTATATCTAGAATTTCTTCCTTTATTTGTAGTCACCTTTTCCATAGCTACTGCACACTGAATAGTTCCTACTTTCAAACAGTGATTCACACATACTAGAAAGCATGACTTAAAAAAAAACTTCTCAGCCCTTTTTGTGGTGGCAGAATATTAGAAATTGAGGGAATGCCCATCAATTGAGGACCAGCTGAACAACCTGTGCAATAAGAAATGATGAACAGGCAGATTTTAGTAAAACCCAGAAAGACTTGTACACACTAATGTAAAATTAAATGAGCAGAACCAGGAAAACACTGTACACAGTATCATCAACACCATGTGATGATCAACTATAAAGGACTCAGTTCTCTCAGCAATACTATGATCCAAGACAAATACAAAAGATTCAAAAAGGAAAATGCTATCCACATCCATATAAAGAATGGATGGACTCTGAGTGCAGATTGAAGCATATTTTTTTCACTTTATTATTTTTCATGGTTTTTTCCATTTTAATCTGTTTCTTCTTTCACAACTGTGACTAATACAGAAATATGTTTTACATGATAGCACATGTATAACCTGTATCAAACTGCCTACCATTTTCAGAAGAGGGGAGGAGAGGGAAGAAGGGAGAGAGAAAAATTTTGAACTCAAAATCTTGTAAAAATGAATGACGAAAACCTGACATCTAATTTGGGAAAAAAATAAAATATTATTATAAAAAAGCTTTAAATGTTCCCACTGGGAATCTTCTGGCTATCTACATAAAAGTACTTACGTTGTTCTTCTGAAGTCTTTTTGAAGTGTGGGATATTCTGGCATTTTTCTAATATCTTCCCAATCTTTATCTTACAAAAGAAAAAAAGGTAACAACAGACACAGACTGTTATAAAGAACAGATATTATGGTTTATACTTCCTCAATATATCACTAGTTATTGGATCCTAAGATATGTTTATCTTAAAATCTCACCATCATATTTAAAAATAAAACATACACATTATAGACATTTCCTTTAAAAAGAACAAATCACCTGCAGGGAATCCCATGACACTAAAAATACGATCTAGTTGATCATGATGAAAAGGATTGCTTGTTTTGATATCTTCCTGACGGCAGTGAAAAATAGGTTCTGAAGTCAATAGCTCAGCAAAAATGCAACCAATTGCCCATATGTCTGTGAAGGAGGAAAAGACAGCTTATTATATGGATGTATTGTATTCATTGGTTTAATTTCTCTTTATCACAGAACAGTTACACTCTACATATATAATTCAATTTTTTCACTTAATAACTAAAGAGTAAGAAGTACACCAAAAATATTTATACACATATGGTTAGGGTTGTATAGTGGATATCATACTGGTTTCGAAGTCAGGAAGACCTGGGTTCAATTACTATCTCAGACACTAGCTGTTGGATTCCCAGGCAAATCACTTAACCTTTCTGAGTCTCACATTCTTCATCTATAAAATGTGGCTAATAAGACTACCTATCTCACTGGGTTATTATGAAGATAAAATGAGATAATTTGCAAACTTTAAAGAGCTAAATAATTGTATGCTAGTATTGCTGATAAGATAGCTATATCACCACATTCCAAATCAAAAGCCAAACAAAACATTTATAAATTTCTAGGCAAAGTTACTTTTTGGCTATTCAACTCAGTAAGCAATGTATTCCACTGAAGTAGAGCAAAAGTCTTCCCAAACACTACTGCCCATTTAAACACCAAGATACTAAAAAGATAACCTAAAACAGAACATAATGCCCTAGATAAGAAGCTGTGAAACAAAAACTCCAGATATAGTACAGATACTCCTTCAAGGCAATCAAATACAATACTTAGTGATAAAGTAGTATTTATGACAGTTCTTTTGAATCTAAACAAGCAGTACATACTAGACCAAATATCTAGACAAGATCCAACTTTTATCTGAAAGTCTACTTTAGCTTTCTCGGTATATAAGCCCAAATGCTAGCTAAATAATAGTGATAGCAAAGAGTAGTCTATACAAGCCTAATAAATGTATGATTCAACAATTCAGCAGACTGATTAACTAAATGAAAACAAATTCTAACTTAAAATTATTTGTCAGGCTCTATTATTTATTATGTGAAACAGACAAAATGCCTCATAGGAAAAATAATACAAAAATTATTTAAAATTTAAGTCACTGGGTCTCAAGAATAAGGCATTCCATATAAATCATTTTTTCAGATAACAGAAGCTAACCATTTCAAGCACAAGAACCATTTTTGCTAATACACTTCTTTTCTACCTTAAAGTAAAGATAATGAACAATTCTTGATGTTTCAGGGTCTTTATTATGACTATTCTTTAATGAATGAACAGTTGTGTCAATTCTTTTAGATTTCCTATTTCCTTCTTCTAGGATAGACTAATTAACTTTCACTCTAACAATTCTCTTCTAACATGCTATTTCTAATCTGCTAATAAGAACTTATTTTAAACACGGATCACTGAGGTTCTGACTGAAGTATACAACTATAGCATAAAGAGTTTGTGACATTTATTCCTGATACTTATAAGCCTTTTCTGGAAACTCTCCTGTTGGGGTTGCTGGAAATCTGGCCTTCATTTAAAGTGGAGATGATGCACTATATTAAGTACAATCATCTTATGAGTGATTTCTATAAAATTAACATATATAAAATTATATACAGTCATCCTGTGACTCATGAAAAATCTAAATATACATTTATACAAAATTTAACACAAAAGCTGCCAAATGAGGTCACCAATGGGAACAGAAGAAGCATTTCATTTATTACAAAGTTAAAATGTAAAAAAAAATTTAAAGAGGGGCAAACTTTCCATTTGAAATGGGATGACTTAAGAATAAAATGTTTGTCAAAATAAAGAACATTCATTGAGAATCTACTGTGAGTGAAACAGTACATTAGATACCATGAGTAATAATAATGATACCAGGAAATAAGTAAGGTTCCTGCTCTCAATGAATTTACAAAGAATTGGGCTAGGGAAAGAGAGGGAATGTGGAATTCAGAGTATCAAGCTACTTGGTTTGTTTTTTTTTAATTAAGACAGAATATTTTTCTAAGAAAGACTAAAGTTAGTAAATTTTATATTTCAGAAGACATGAGTCTAAAGTATAAGTATATTTTGTTGTTATTTATTGTTTAGTTGTTTTAGTTGTGTCTGACTCTGTGATCCCATCTGGGATTTTCTTGGCAAAAACACTGGAATGGTTTGTCATTTCCTTCTCCAGCTTATTTTATCAATGAGGTAAGTGAGGAAAACAAAGTTATGTGACTTGCCCAGGATCACACAGTTAATAAGAGGTCAAATTTGAACTCAGGTCTTCCTAACTCCAGGCCTGGCACTCTATCCACTGCACCACCTAGCTGCCTCATATATTTTGTAATGACATATACACATGCATACACATAGCTTCCTCAATAGAATATAAGCTTCTTGAGAAGCATATACTATTTCATATGTATCTTTGTATTCCCAGTGCTGAGCACAGTGACTGTCATAGACAGCATGTACTTAATAAATGGGTTGGTGACTGACAGATTAACTAGGCCACACAGGCATCATAATATTAGTTGATCAATGTGCCTCAAGAATCAACTAATTAATACAGGGTTTTTTTTAAGGCATAAATTATTTTTCCAAAGAAATGAGTCTAACAACAAATTGCTGTAAAATAAATCCTGTTTTCGCACTGATTTTCAAATGGAGACATGTTCTCAATGGGGGGGGGAAGAAAAGAAGAAAAAAAAATATGAAATAGTGTTTTAGGCACCACATTTTAGGAAGGACATTGACAAGCTGGAGAAATCTAGAGGAGCAAGACCAGAATAAAAGGTCTTGAGTTCCTGCCAAATGAGCAATAGCTAAAGGAACTAATGATGCTTATTCTCAAGAAGGGTTAAGGGGGCCATGGTGCCTTTATTCAAGGGTTTAAAGGGCTGTCATGTCAAAGAGGGATGAGACCTACTCTGGTTGGTTTCAGAGGTAAGAATTAAGAGCAATGGGTCAAAGTTGCAAGTAGCATCATCCTGATATAAGGAAAAACATCCTGCCAATCAGAGTTATGCCCAAGGGGAAAAGCTTGATGCAGGAAGTAGTGAGTGGGTTCTCCCTCATTAGGAGGTCTTCAAGTAAAGGTCGGATAGATGGTAACTTACTTCGAATGTAGTAGAAAGGATTCTCATTTGGAAATGGCCCTTCCATTTTATGGTTATATGATTTTAAAACTTTTGGTGAACAAAAGAATAAAACAGTGCCAAATCCTTTGGGTGAACTGAGTACTGTGCCACCTCACTAGTGCTTTGATTGTTAGGAATGTAATATAGTACTTTTAGACCTTAAAAACACCTTTTCCCAATCCCATCCTGAAAAATCACCAACAGTTTTCCTAGGCTTGAAATTTCACTCTCTTGAAGCTCCAAAAACTTATTCTAAACTTATTCTATATTGGCCCCTTTTGTTTATGTATTTTTTTTCCTCTTACAGATCTAGGATGTGGCATGATAATTCACAATACGTTCTCTAGCCTTAAAAAATGTCCTACACTTGAAGCTTCAAGTTACCTAACCTGACTTTATGAATTTCAGTATCAAATTTTATTAAGAGGATTTATTCAAAAACAAAATTTCTCTGGTAGGAGGCTTCTAAATGTGACATTTTGAAATACAGTGTCCCAAAAGTCTTAGTGCAGTTTTAAGCCTTAATAACTTCAGAAACATAAGTGACAGAAATAAGCAAAATCACTGGAAGGCTTTCTTTTCTTTTAACACTTAGTTTTGTGAATTTTTAATAATAAATTTTTCTTTTTAAATTTCACCAAAATAGGGTATCCTGTCATTATGCATTATGTAATTTCTGAGGATGAATGGTAAACCATGCATCTCTCCTCCTAGAAAGGATGGTGCCCTCTACAGTAACAGGTAAGGTACGAGTGGGTGCAGAGAAAGAGGAAAGTTCAGGAGGAAAGATAATGAATTCTGTTTTGGACATACCAAGTATAAAGATGTCTACTGGACATCAAGTTCAAGATGTCTGAAAGGCAGTTGGAGATACAAGACTGGAGGTCAGCAAAAAGCCTGGGGCAGGAAAGACAGATTTGAGAATTATCAGCATCAAGATGGCTAGAGCTGATGAAATCACCAAGCGAAGTAGTACAGAGGAAAAAAGAAGAGGATTGAGGACAGCATCCTATGGGACACCTATGATTAGAAGGCATGATCTGGAGAAGATTCAGCAAAGGAGATTGAGGAGTAGTCTGACAGATAGGAAGAAAATCAGGAGTTAGTGGTATCCCAAATTTGAAGAAAAAAGAGAGTATCGAGGAAAACATAATCAATAGTGTCAAAGACTGCAAAGAGGCAGCAGTGAATGAGGACTGACCATATCACCACCTCCTCTCCCCCCAATAAACAACACCAGCTACCTAACACCTCCAAGATCATATACCTCTGGATCACCAATACCTTAAAGTCCTTCATAACCTCCCCCTCCCCACCCCAAAATTTTCCAATCTTCTTACATTTTATACCATCCCACTGTTACTTGAAGTACTCTTCAATCCAGTGACAGTGGACTGCTTGCTGTTCCTAGAACAAGACACTCCATCTCTTGGCTTCAGGCACTTCCACTTACTGTCCCCTCATTCCTAGAATGTTCTCAAGTCTCATCTCCACCTCTTAACTTCCCTGGCTTCAAGTCCTACCTAAAATCCTGCCTTCTATTTCCAATCCTTAAGAGGGATCTGGGTGTCTTCCCTTTGCTGATTATTTCCTATTTACATATATTTGCATAATATCTCCCCCATTAGATTATAAGCTCTTTGAGGGCAGGGCCTACTTTTTGCCTCTTTTTTTTTTTAATCCCCAGCACTTAACACAGTACCTGGCACAATAAATGCTTACTGAATGTATATTCCAGTCAAATTATTCTATCAGCTATTCTACCAACTGTACACTGCATTTCCCATTTTTGAACATTTATATAAGCCATAAGTCCTATGCTTGGAATGGGGCTATGACTTCTTTTCTCTACTTTTCCAAATCTTTACTTCTCTTTAAGGCTTAGCTCATGTGTCAACTCCTCTATAAGGCCTTCCATGTTCTTTGTGTTCTCTTCCCTCCTCAAATTAACTTTTATTTACTTACATATATATATGACTAATTCATCTTTGCAGATAGGAAATATTTTGTCTTTGCATCCCAAATACCAAGTACAGTACACCTTGCATGTTGTAAGCACCTAAAAAACGTTTATTGTGTGTACTTTATGGATCTAAAACTAAAGGTCACTGGATAAGTTTCAATTAAGAAGATATTCCTTGGGATGCAGATTGTCCAAGGTAGATGGGTTAGGTGTAGAGTTTTCACAGTGTGGCAATACAATAAATATGGACCAAACTCATTAAATATTTTCCTTCTCCATTTATGCCTTTCCGTTACCTGTGCCCTCAGGAGTTATGCCTACATAAATGTTTAGAAAACATCCTCACTCATATTATGTACTAGGACTTAAGACTAAATATGACCCTGCAAATTATTCATCTCTATCTTCATAATGTAAGGACCTCAATGATGGACATATATCTGCCAAGGGCAAACCAAGATAATTCTAAGAGGCCTATCATCAGGTTGGTTCTTAAGGTAATTTTTCTACCCACACTGACAAAATAATAGACCATTTTAATTTTATAAGTTGGACCAGAATATGTTTTTCTTCAATACTTCAAAGGATTCCTGATTATATCATATAAGTATTCCTTCCATGGAGCCTCTATTAACTGTGTTGGTCCATTAGCCAGTCAACAACCAATCTCATAGCCTTTCCCATCTTGGTAGCATCTCATGTAACTTGAGTTAGTTCCACACAAGTACAAGGAACCACCAAAACTGGAAATCTAACATCACAGTCCTAGAAGTGGAAATGAATGAATGAAAAAGCATTTATCAAGTGCTAACTATATGCCAAGCATTGTGCTAGCACCATGAATACAAATTAAAAAATGAGACAGTTCTGCTTTCAAAGAGCTTATATGCTAATATGAAAGATAACACTCATAGCAGAGCTTAGAGAAGGGATTTTTGGTTTAGGGAGTCACAGAGATAAGATGATCCACAGGGAATCCAATTGACACTCCCTTTTCAGAGGTAAATGGTACTGATTTCATTAGTCTATCCACAGCAGGAGGCAAAAACAAAAGGGAGAGAGGGGTAGGTGTAGCAACAGGGCAGATAGCAAAACAGCAAGAAAGAGAAAACAAAGACATGAAGAGTAGGTAGATTAGACCAAATGCACATGAAGGAGATTTGTGCTCAACCTGCCAAGACTGTGAAGGCTCTGAGGAATCAATTTTCAAGATGACTGAAGTAGACCCCTAAGACTGGGGGAGGGGGGAAATTGTAGGTATCATAATTATAATTATTATTATCATCAGTATTAATAAGTGACAAGTTAATAAAAGAACACAATAACTATTGATCTATATGATTAATCCACCACATATAAAAATGTTTATGAAAATGATCTACACACACACACACACACAAGGGCCTTCTGAATGAGGGTATTAGAAAGGTATAAAACAGGCTTTTGCAAGCAACATTCCATAGTGGACCAGTAGGATTCAAAAGTTTAAATAGCAAGTATCCTCAAATCACAATTTAACATTGAGAAGTCCTGAGCAGAAAGTGAGTGGACTTGAAATGTCAAACTATAATAGTTTTAGATAATAAAAATCTTGTAGCTAAACATGTGCTCAGAAATACAAAGAATATGAGATGTTTATGTAATACTTCAAAAAAAACCAGATAGTAAACATTTATCCTAAATAAATATGATCAAGAGAAAAGAAATCAATCCATTGGCCATGTCTGAAAATGTATGTTTCATTCTGTGCCTCTAGTTTATCACCTCTCTATCAAGAAGAAGGAAGCATGCCTCCTTAATTGGCTGCTGAAGTCATCTGCATTGAAGATCACTGCATTGATCAGCTCCTAAGTCTTTCAAAGTAGTTTTGTATGTATGGGTCCTTTCCTATCTTTGACTTCTTTGGGAGTATATGCCAAGTACAATTGAGTGACTTTTTGGTTACATTTCCAAATTATTTTACACAATGGTTGGATCAATACAAACCAAGAGCATATTACTGGGCCTGTCTGCCAAAATTTCTATATGGTTATTGATAGCTTGCAGTTTTTCTTTTGAAAACTGCCAGATCATATCTTTTAGCCATTTATCCACTGCAGAAGTGTTTGGATTTTCAAAGTTGGTAATCTTGAGTGCATTTCAGATTACATGAAGAATTTCTGTAAAGTATTTTTCCTACGTATATTCCTGATAATCTGGATATGCTGTCATCATTTAGACAGTATTACTTCTATTAGAAGCTTATGATCAAAACATCTAGATTCCCCACTGGCAGAATAAACAGAATTATCACTCAATTATGCTTTTAATTAAGTTGTTTACACCCACACACACATACACACAAACATACAGTTTAACACTGATATAAGTTTCTATTATAAATAAATTTAGGGGCAGCTAGGTGGTGCAGTGGATAGAGAGCACTGACCCTGAAGTCAGGAGGACCTGAGGTCAAATCTGACCTCAGACACATAACACTAGCTGTGTGACCCTGGACAAGTCACTTAACTCCACTGCCTAGCAAAAACAACAACAACAACAACAACAACAATAAATATATTTAAATAAGACCATATGTCGTAATAGAAAGGAAACAGGACTTGGGATCAGAAATCTGGGTTCTAGTTCTAGTTTAGCCATTAACTACTTATTAAGACATCAGACATTCTTCTTTATGTATATCCCTGGATTATATTTTCCTTATCTGTAAAATGAAAAGATTCTATCTAAGGCCAATTATAAAATGCAAATTTATATCAAGATTTAAATAAATACAAAGACTAGGGCATAGTTAAGTAACTTATTCTTATTAAGGTATCCCATTCTGATTAAGGTAACAGATCCTTAACTATCCTAAGGCTTGAATGCAATGAATTTACTCTGAATCTCTTAGTTCAGAGCCCTTTATAGGCTGTAATTTTCAGGGCTTATGCAGGGCTCTAGAACTTTCAGCAGTTTCACCAGGTTATCAGAACTGAAGCTCTTCTTTGGCAACATATTTCAGCTCCCATAGTAAGTTTTTGTTTTATCTATTTGTTTTTGCCACAGGGCCCCACGTTCAGTCATCAACTCTCAGCACTCTGGTGATAAGATTGTCTATGGAAAGTGCTTTGTAAATCTCCAAGGTGAAAAAAGCACCAGGCAAATGTTAGCTACTAAAATTATTATTACTTCCTAAATCGTCTCTCCCTGTCTCCTGCTTTGAGAGAAAATATACTTATTATCTCTTCTAACATAGATACGAAAAAAGAAAAATTATAGTGATGCAACCCCTCCCCTAGTCAGCAATGTGACTGTCTTTTCCCCAACATTAAAATTCCTCTATACCCAGTTTTTGGCTTCTTCTTTTATTTTTGAGGGAAACTGTTCTAATCTTCTCCTCTACCCACATAATCAACAGCCTGACTAGATTTTGGATAAAATAAAATTTGCGTTCAATAATTTCCATAGCAACAGGATCACATATCTTTGCAATATGAAAGAGATTTCTTTCTGTTAAAGGGACCATATCCTGTTTCCAAGAACAAAGTCTAAGCTTACCAAATCAAACCTTTTGAAAAGACATGAAATTAGAATATAACAAGTTTTCAAAAGAGATAGCTGAGTCTGCTAAAAGCACTTCATAACATTAAAATTTTTGTGATAGAATATTGCCAAAGTGGTAAATTATTTTAAGCTAACTTACCAATGGCCTTTGTATAATGCCTTGCACCAAGCAATAGTTCTGGAGCTCGATACCAAAATGTCACTACTACTGGATCCAAGTCTGCTAAAGGTTTTAAGGGAGAATTGAATAATCTGGCAAAACCCATGTCAGCTAAAAAATAAAACAATAAAATAAATCAACTTAACATGCTATACAAAGCAAAATACTGCTTTTCAGCATTTTCCTATTCTTAAAATCACATTACTGTATCTTATAAATCCTAAAAATTATGATGCCTAGAAGTCTAAGCTTCCTAAACCACAAAATGAGCCCTAAGAACATCTGTGTGTGTAGAGACTACCCTCCACATGTTGCATAATAGATCACTGGAGATTTATCATAAAGAATCATATCTTCTCATAAGATAAATATAATTAACAGCTAGATTCTTTACCAAGGACTTGCCATCAGATAAATTACAGACATATAACCAACCAACAGGCTATAAAAACAAAGAAATAATAATTATATGTCTCAGTGTGAATTTAAAGTGAGAAAACTGTTGCAAGTTCTATAAAATAGACATAAATATACTGTAGACAACGGAGGAACCTGTAGACAATGTGAGGAACCATGAAGGATGACAGCTATGTAACATCATAAATCTGCTCTAAAATCAATATTATGACCATAATAAGCATTAAATATTTAATTAATAATAATTATGTTCTTCTTCTTAGAATTTAGAAGGGATTTGTAGAGATGGCCCAATTTTTTAAAAAAGCCATACAAATAAGTTTGAGTTGATATTTTCTCTCAATAAATTTCCCAATCACAGAGACAAAATCATTTCACTGATCTTAAAGCTGCTTTAAATACAGTGGTAGGTGTTAATTAATATTTATTGTTGTTGATATAATGATATACCTTCCACTAAGAAGTTTTGTTGTTGTGTTTTTTAAACTAAAAACTAAACCAACATTTCTCCCTTTACCTTCTCCTACCTCCTACCTATTCAAAATGTTTCCATCTTTCAGTTAAAGGGATTTAAACTACATACACTCTAAGGTCTATTCCATTTCAAAATCATATAAAATTGTAGTTATTTGGTATACCAAACCACATACAAATAAAAGTAAAAAAGTGATTCTACTTGGTACTTTGTTGACAGATATCAGAGTATTTTACTTTTAGAGAGCTATAGAAACAATTTCCACATTATTATAAAGCTTTAAGGAGAATATCAAAACATTTCTCACAAAATGCTATGATAGACATAATAATTTAACTGCTTGTTAACCTATTGCTTTCTGTATCTTGAAGCCCTCTCAGAACCAATGAATGCTAATAATAATCTACTTAAATAAGCTATATACAAAAGCAAGATTTAAAGAAATACAACAGTTATGCTTTACCTTATTTATGAATCCTTAATTACGTTCAAGGATTGGTTTTTGATGAAATACAAAGTAGAATATAAGCCTCTTGGGATCAGGGGCTCTTTCACATTTATCAATGTACCCTAGCACCTAACAGAGAGCCTGGCATACAATGTTTTATAAATAAGTACTGAATTGAATTGAATTAAACTATCACATCATCATGAAATTCTTAAGAGTAAGGATGGGTCAGGTTGAATGGTTTCTACTAAAGAGTAATGAGAAATAAAACTGGATAAATAGGGTAGAGTAAAACTGTGGTACACTCTGAAAGGCATATTAAGGGATTTGAACTTTATAAGTATGAATAGTACATGCTGTACTAGAAAGGACAATGGACTAAGGGTTAGAAAACCTGGGTGCTAGTTTTGGTTCTGTCACTCATTAGCTAGAGGATTAGGGGCAAGTCACTTCCCCTCTCTGGAACCCAGTTTCCTCATCTATAAAGTTAGGAGTTAGGTTAGATGGTTTTTAGCTCTCTTTCAACTCCAAAATTCTTTAATTCCTAATAAGGAACCATCAGAGGTTTTTGCCCAGGAGAATGACAGGATGAAATCAATACCTTGGAAAATAAGGGCAAAAAGACCACTCAGATGGCTATTATTAATCTGAATAATCTATTTCTTTTCTTATAGACCTTTCTTGAAAGCCTAGTATTCTCCCTGTCCTCAAATTATCATATGTTTACATACTGTACTTCCCAGTATAATTTAAGTTCCTTGAGGTCACAGACTAGCTGGTTTTTCCCTACTGTCAGTAAACAAGTTAACAAGCATTTATTAAGTGCTTAATATGTGTCAGGCTCTAAGCTAAGCACTGGAGCTACAAGGGAAAGGTAAAAATACAGTCTCCACCCACAGTGAACATACATTCTAGTTGCAAAGACAACATGAAAAAAAGAGACAAAACAAAACCTATACGGTGAAGCTAAGAGGTTATCTCATAGGGAAGGCGCTAACAGAGTGAGGAACCTGAAAAGGCCTCTTTGAGGTGAATCTTGAAAAGAAGCCCAGGAAGCCAGAGGCAGAGGTGAAGAGTGAAGGTATTCTAGCCACAGAGAAGGGCCAATACAAACATACTGAAGAGATGGTGTGCTGCTAGCAAGGAAGAGCAAGAAGTCCAATGCTGCTAGATTGTACAGTATGTGGAGAGAATTATAAGAAGTTTGGAGAGGTGGGAAGGGGTAAGGTTTTGAAGGACTCTAAATGTCAAGTAGAAGATTTTATATTTTATCCTGAAGGTAACAGGAAGCCATTGGAATTTACTGAGTAAGAAGGCAACATGGTCAGGTCTGTAAGAAGATGACTTTGACAGTGAGCAGAAGACAGACTGGAGTGGAAAGATTTGGGACAGAGAAACCAACCAGAAGGCAATGATTAAAAAAGCAGTAATCCAGATGTGGTGATGAGGCCCTGCTGGGTAGCAGCTGAGTGATGAAAGAAAGGGTCACATGTAAAAGTTGTTTTGAAGGCAAAAATGGTAAGACTGAGCAAGAGATTTGATATGTGGGGTGAGTGCAAGTGAGAAATCAAGTGTGACATTAAGGTTGCAATCAAGGTGACTGGGAGGATGAATACTGATAAAGAGCTGGCCTGGGAGCCAGGAAGACCTCAGTATAATTCCTGGCCCTGACACATACTGGCTATGTGGACCTAGCAAGTCACTTAACCTCTCAGTTCTAGGCAATTCTCTAAGATGAAAACTTGCACTGGTAAATGGAATTTCCTCAGCCTGGAGCTCCCTATACCAATGAAATCAGAGATCCAGTTTTTATCTCCATTCTTACCCTTAGCATTTAATGAAATGCCTTGCAGATAGCAGGGTCTTAATAAATATCTGCTGAACTGAACTAAAACTTGTGGTATTAAAAGCCTGGAAAACAGCTGTAAGTAGTAGTAAAAAGGAAAGACATTTAAAAAGAAGAATCACTAGGATTTGGTGACTGGTTAGCTACAGAGGGCAAAAAGTAAAAAAGTCAAAGATGACACTCAGGAGAATTATAGCGCCACTGACAGAAATATGTAAGCATTCTAATTATTTTAGTTTTGGACATAATGGATTTGAAGCAATGGGAGGCAACTAAAGTTGAAATGTTTAACTAGAATATGGAACTAGATCTTGACTGAAAAAACAGGTTGGTAAATAGAGAAAGTGATGGATTAATTTTCTGACTCAACAAACAGAAAGAAGAACTGATGGTTAAGAACTAAAAGCCTCTGCCAACTTCCAGTTAGGATACAGGGAAAGAAACAAAGAAGGAACTATAAGAGAAAAAGAAACAAGATAATGCAGCATCACATAAGTCATAGAGGAGTTTTAATAGATTGGAGCAAGTGATTAATACTTGCTACAAAATGTAAATACTACAAAATCATAAAGAAAAATTACTGAATATAAGTAATTTGATATTGAAGATTTAAAAAAGGAATGCATGATAAAGAAACCAGAGGGCGTGAGCATGTACCGTACTCAAGAAGTCGAGGAGGAGGAAACATGAAAACAGAAAGAAGCTTGAGTACAGCAAAGTCAAGCAAAGGTAACAGATTTTATATATGTATAAAGTAAAGAAAAAAAGAGTAAGCAAAGAGGGAGGAAGTAAAGATACTTGAATGAAAGAAGATACGTGTGGAAGCAATACAAGTCAGGAAAGGATGGGTCCCATGTAAAAAAGCCTTCAAGGGTTACTTGTCCCTTATGACTCATTCAAGGAGAGACCTAATTTGAGATGAAGAGGTAAGGACATGGGCTAAGATCATCCACCAAGTTTGATGTGGTGGAACTGAGGAGTGGAATTTAGGACTTAAGGAGAATGAGAAAGGAGAACATCTAGGATACAACTTTCTTTAGTTTCATACATACACTCAACGTACATTTACAAAGCACTTGGCAAGTGGTGGGAGGGGAAGGGAACAAGCATTAATTAATCTCCTACTATGTGCCAGGAACTACGCTAAAAAATCTTCTCTCATTTTATCCTCAAAACAACCCTGGAGGTTAGATACTCTTATAACCCCCATTTTACAACTGAAGAAACTGAGGGAGACAGAGGTTAAGTGATTTGTCCAGCTATTAAGTGACTGAGGCTGAATTTGAATTCAGATCTTCTTGACTCCAGGCTCAGGACTCTATCCACTGCACTGGCTAGCTGCTATTATTAATATAATATTCTAAGTAAGATTTAAAAGTTTAAGACAATTACTTTACAGGTGAGGAAACTGAGACCCAGAAAGGTTGACTCATCAAAGGTCACACATGTGGCAATGTGGCAGAGACAATATTTGAACTGAGAACTTTGACTGAAGTCTGAATTCTTTCCACTGCACTGAGTGGTCTCCTAGCTCTCTTACTCCTAATCCTAGACAGGGACTTGATAAATCAAAATTATATATGATCATAAATTTCTGGGGTATGTTAAAGATCAACAGTGGCACGTATATGATAAAAATAAAGGGTATGACACGGTACATACTAGGAATTAAATGTGCGTGGCTCTGTGTTAGGTGCTAAAGGGTTATTATATGGAGTAAAGTAATATTTAAGTAGAGTTGGGTCTAAGAAGTTATGGTTAAGTGATTACATGTATGCATGTTTCTTAAACTGAGGAGGCAGCACACAAAATCAATGTACAGAAGCTATTACATGAAATTTAACATTTTTGTGGGTTACTGACTTACCAATGCTGCTCTATCTTAGATTCATGGAATCTTCAAGAGAAAAAGATTCTAAAAGGTGCGTGGAATTTTTGAGTGAAAAAGAAAAATATTCTAAAAACATTTTTATAAAAAATTTTATGTCTAGATTTTTCAATATTAAAAATGTTCCCTATTCCTCATAAAATGTGACAAGGAATTAATTTTATAATAATCAATAACTATTATAAGGAGCTCTGATAAAGCAATGATAGTCACTTTAAAAATTATTTTAGCCACATTTACCTACCTATTTTGACTCTCCCCCTTTCCGGGCCTTCTCCCATTACTAGGATATTTGCTGGTTTCTAAAAAACAAAAAGAGTATTCAAACAATTAAATGAATACTTCTGATATGCTCAAAAACTACCAAAAAATGTTTTCATAAAAGGATGGAAATAACAAATCAGTATTTTGTTCAAAATGCCAAACCAACTGGTAAATATGTACTGAGAACTTAATACACAGCATATATATTTTATATTTATTTCAAATGAATACTAACAACTATTTTGTCAGTAAGAGTTAAATAAGATGTATTTCTAGAAGCCAGCCTGTACTATATAAAGCGAATATTTGCATTCATTTTACATGAAGATACAGAAGAGACACTGACACATCATAAAATTATTTTATTGGAAGAAATTCATCAAAATGCTTGTACAATTTTTTATGCCTATTTTATACCCAACGATTTCCTTCATTCAGATAAATAGATATAATACTTTCATTTTTAATATATAAAGAAACTGTGCTACGGAAACAAAGTTCAACAGTTTTCTAAACATAGGTAGCTGACAGTTCTCTTACAGAAGAATGAGAAATATGAAATATTTTTATGCATTTTGTAGACTGACTGCATCTGTTCCAAGACAGTTATCCATATAATGTTAAGAGATCTAAGGGAAAACCCTAGCACAGGATGGGAAGGCAAGAATGGATTATGATCTACAGTCATCCTGTGCCACTCTTATCCATATCTTTTCATAAATCTTACCTGTGGGTCCATCAAATATGCTAAGGTCTTCCTCTAGATCTCTTTAACATTGTGTTGGATGGAATATTTGAACTGTCAACTGGTTACATGGTCATCCTACATTCTTTTCTGGACATATAGTATCTTTCTGGTATGTACCACTTCTGTGCAATTCTTCACTAGTAATATGCTACAATTTACTCTTACTTACCATTGCCCTTTGTGTTACCTACAACTATTTCAAGGTAAGTATTTCATGGTTTGCAGGTACAGAGAATAATTTCATCGAGTCAAGAAGCATAAATCCACAAAGTCCGTTCTATTCAGCCATTCCCAGGTCATCAATCAATGAACCCAGACACCCATCCTGACCATCTTCTTGTCATTTTGTTTGCTTTGTGAAAATAATACCACCCCAACCCCTTCCTGAAGTTTTCCACATCTTGGTTCTGGATATTATAATAAAAGTAAATATTATCACTGCTTCTGGAAAATGTTTGTTAATTAACTCATGTATGGCTTTGCTGATCATTCCTGTGACTTTCCAAGGCAAAATACTTTCCCTCCTAGCCACCACCTCCCTTTTATATTTGTATCCCTTGTCACAGGGCTTGGCATAAATGCATTAAAATACTTTTCATTCATTAATTCACTGAAAGAATAATGACATTAAAAATGGTTTTTCATTGCCAGGAAAAGCTTAGGTAGACTACACAATTTCCTAAGGCAATCCAGTCTACATGCCTCCTTTCACTGTTGAACTGTCTTACTCATCCAAGATATACTTACATTGAGGAGCCAACTATGAACTGTTTAGTCAACTGCATTTCATACAATGCATACTACGAAGAATGAAAATATTCTGAAGCATGACCAATATATGGATTTATTTTGTTTAACTATACTCATTTGTTACAACAGGGAAGTGGGGGAGAGTAGTGAGAGTGAAATTTTTAAAAATAAGAAAAAGAAAAATGAATATTTTAATACACACAGAATTGAACAAAATCAAGTTTATAAAGGAATTGACACAAATATATACTGAATAGATGCTACTTTTTAAAAAAACAAGCTGTATAGCATAGATTGACAGTGTCATATACAATCGATCCTCTTTCTTAGTTTTTCTTTGCATAAGGAAATGTTCAAAATTGTTGATGTTTCCCAAGGTTATAATAATAAAAAACAGATGACCAAGGGTCTCACAAAATTATGTTTATTGTTGCCTTCAGAGACATGATAATGCCAATGCTGTTAATTCATTGAGTAAAGTTAATAACTCAATGGCTGTCTGTTTAATATGTAGATAATATCTGTTGTCACTCTACAGATAACACTCACTTTGTTTTACTAGGATGAATGATAAAAAATTTTAAATTAATTATGGATTATACAGAAGAGGTTCTATAACATTCTTAGGTTTGATGCAAGTAAAACTTTGCCATTTGAGAAAATGAGATTTGCAAAACTTTACCATTAATAGGGAATTCTCTAAGAAATCCTCCATGACTCTAGGAAATAGGTTAGCAAAAATATCCCAATTATTACATTATGAGAATCGAGTGAACTACACTGACTCCATCTTGGACTCAATTGTGCATCTAACTCAGTTCCCTTTCTATTCAACTATGAGCCTAGTCCAATTTCTGTCTTGTAAGGAAACTTTATTCAATTTTGGAAATCGTGAGAAAACTTTATTATATTATTTGAACCAAGCCCTGCATGACTGGGAAGCTAGGTAACTACCTCTACCTGTTGACCAGAAACCCGTAAGATCCAAAAAACTGATGCAAGGAGTTTTCTTACAACTATACATCTCAAGAAACCTGCCTCTTATTTGAAAACTGACCCCACATTGGCCAATCAGTTACTGTTTCCTTTTTCCTTTGACTGAAAACACACTGGAGAGAGGGTTGGGGAGAGACACCTCTTTTTCTTATTTCAAGGAATTAAACCTGTTCACTCTCCCCCTCCCAACTTGGAAAGTCTCTAATCTTTCCTCCAATTAGAAATCAGAATATTTAATATTGTATCCTGGTAAAAAACCTGTTAATTGTTTACTTTTAGAGAATAAAAATCTGTCTTCCCCTATATTCAGACTCCAGTGCCAAGCTGAGGAAGTCTGGCCGCAATTTGTTATACAATTGGCATGCACTGCTTAATAAATCAATATGTCTGGAGGCTCGGACCTTTGTTTCCTCAGTTATTTCATATTTCACCCATCACAACACCTTGCATGATACTGCTGTTTGAAGGTGGGAATCACTCTACAAAGTTACCTTTCTAGTCACTTCTACTTTAGAAGTTGGTATGAGTGATATGTTTGAGGAAAGTCTTTAAAACTGCATTTTATTCTACCTAATTCTTTAAAAAAATCAAACTACAGTCACAATGGAATGTTATGTTGTTTAAATTTCTCAGTCAGTGGTAGGCTTATAAAGATGAGAACTAGGTACAATTTAACTAGTATGAAGTGGTATCTCAAAGTTGTTTGATTATTAAGACTAAACATTTTTTTCTTAATTGATCCCTAACACTTTACGTTTCCTCCTTTGAAAACTCTCTATTCATTTCCTTTGACCATTTATTTACTGTGGAATGAGTTACCAATCTGATTTTTAATATCTCACTCTCTTCTACATCAATTTTGTCATTTTTTGTAAACACTACCTAAGACTATTATTTCTATTTCAATTATATTGGCTTTTGTTGTAAAGTTTTAATGTAGTGAAGCGCATTTATCCTGTTTCCTCAAATTAGTTTCATTTCTCCTCCAAAACTAAGATGAATACTTCATTCCACTGCCTTCCATTTTTTGTGCATGTTCTTTTTTCCCCCAATGGTTATATATACCATCCAAATGGAATTCTTCTTTAAAAAAATATTAATTGATACTTTTTGTTTTCTTTTATTTTAACATCACCCCTCCTTCCCTCATAGAGAGCATCTCATCTTACAAACAAGATAAAAAATAAAATAAAATCAGCAAAACCAATGAATATCAAGTCTGAAAATATGTGCAAGGTGGCCCTCCCAACCTCTGCAAAGGGGCAACAGTGTATTCTCATATCTCTTCTTTGGAGACATACTTGCTTTTTGTAATTTTGAAAAAATAATTTTTAGTTGGGACAGGCTGAAAGGGTTGTTCTTCCTATTTACATTGTCATAATCATTGTATTTATTATCCAAATGAAATCCATTGTGGGTTGATGGTATAAGGTGTAAAGCCAAATTCCTTTCTATTCAAGGTGACAACCAATTTTACAAATCGTATTTATTAATTTTTTCCTCATTTTTCCCCAAATAAATGTTGAAAACATTTTTTGTGATTAAATTGATCTATTTTGCCTATACTTTCTCCTATTCATTGAAAAGATATGAATTTTCCTCCTCTATAAAACTGTAACATTATTGTACTTTTATTAAACATTTTTCAAATATTTACATTATTGATCCACTATTAAAATATATAATGAGATATGATTCTAATACTATTCCTTATCAGTACTATTTAATTTTCCTAACAGTTTTTCTGTGTCATATATTAGTCTATTGTAGCAAATGTTTGATGGCTAAGGTGGTTTCAAGCATATTTGGTCTACTTATTGTGGCATTTGATTTATTATGCTTAAAATTCCTTAGGACACTTTGATGGCCTGTACTGTCTGTTCTTTTATCTATTTCCCATTTTTTGGTGTCTTTAACTTGTTTCAATAGGCCAGGCTAGAACTACCTCAGTTGTACATTATATACACTCATTTTAATTCTTGTATTTTGGTATTGATTTTGATCTTTGCTGTAACCAGTCAATGGCGTTGAAACAAGACAGAGACAACTCATATGGAAATAACTTCTATGTCAATAAAATTGGTTCCTATATATTAGAATATAATCAATTTCATTTTTGTGATGTCATTTCTTATAATTTGTGATGTCATTTATCACCACATACAGCACCTCCCAACTCTCTTCTCTGAAGGAAAATTTGCAATAAATAAGAATGAAGCTTCTGAAAAGCCTACAAGCCTGTAACTTCCTTACTTCTTCATCCTGGAACAATATTTTCCAAAATATTTTTTGCTACCAGAATTTATATTTAAGGTAAGTACTAAATTAAAAGTTGTTTTAATTTAAGGAGTCATATCAAGTTCTTTGTGAACCTTACTAGTATCCAAAAATGTCAACATGAAATCAATAAATACCAATCTGGATATTTAATTTCCTTGTTTCTAAAAAATGTATATAAAAACAATCTATTCATGTATCAACAGAATCCTTAATGGTGATATAAGGAGAGCCAAACTATCACAACTGATTGTTCTGCCATGAAGG